AAAAAAAACCAAATCCCCCCCCCCCCCCCCCCCCGCAGCCCCCCGCCCTAAAAGAAAACAAACCAAAAAGGCTTGGGCAAGCAATTTTTCATTTTTTCAAAGTCTGCCACAACAACTTTTCCTTTAATTTTTTCAGTGCCAGCAAAACTGGAATTTTTATGCCCAGACTCGGTGAACTAAGCTTTGGCATCGCTGCTCTCAACAATTTTCTAAGAACTAAAAAGGACAGTGAAGGAAACAGAATTATTGTTCCCACTTGCTAATGAATTTCTACTTCTCTTTGATACAGACTTTCCTGTACAGTGGGGATCAGATGTGGTATGCTTATCGGAATGACCTTTTGTGCTGCTGAAGCAGGGAAGGAGTTTTAACTTAATTCCCCTGCTTCCCTCCCCTCAGCGCTGCTTCTGACAACCCCATGCTACAGTTGCCTTCTCATTAAGCAACCCCCATATCCTTCCTCTTAATGAATTCCAAGCCTCCATTGTAGGTTAATATGCTTCATATTTGCATATATCCCTAATTTTTTCAGTGGAACTTAATTGCAAATTATGCTTTTGGAATGGGGAGTGGAAGGAAATAAGCACTGAATTATTTCAGCCCTATTCAATTCGGATATGGTCCAAATCAGGGACAGTGACTTGATCCATTGATTTGGATCACTGCCCCTGATTCGAGTCAGCTGAATCTGAATCTGAAGATTTGATGCTGATTCGGTGAATTAGCGATTCAGACACAGGCAGAGCTTTAAAAGTTTTTTTCTATGTACCTTCAGGTAGCAGCATGGCTTGTGATCACTGCAGTGCTGGGGCACATGGAATGTTCCACAGGAGCACAGGGGGCTCTCTAGTTTGGCAGCAAATCCAGAAGTGGACTGGAAGTACTTCTGGTCCACTTCCAGGTCCATCATGGAGAGCACTGGGGGCCTCCTGTGTTCCCTTGGCTCAGTGATTGGCCACAGAGGGACCCTGGGTGCCCCCCTCCCTGACCCAGGAGGCACCATTTGCCAAGCTGCATCTCCTCCAGCATCACAGCATTCAGAGCCCCTGTTACTTAGAGGTATGTAGAAAAATAATTTAAAGCTGTATCTACATCTGAATCTGTCCAAATCTCTCCAAATCGATTTGGAGAGATTAAAGTGCTCTGATTTGATTCGGATTTGGAGATTCAGCCACTAAATCGGGCCAAATCTCCTCCAAATCAAATCAGGGACTGAAGCTTCGCACAGCTGTATCAGTCACTAGGGCTGCAGGATATAATTCTCCTGATACGTTTAGCTCTTTGAAAAATCTTCACTGTAGGATGTTTCAGTTCTTGTTCTGGACACAAGATGGTCACTGAAGCAGTTATAAATAAAAATGCAGTGTAGAGTTTGATGCGTTGTATTGGAATAGTTAGTTCTTCAGTGTTGACTTGCATAAGAAGATTTCATGTTCCTATTATGAAAAGATAAATCAAAATGGTTTAGATTATTCTGGAAAGTAATCAGCATTTTTCATTTTAGAAGCTAATTCCACACAAGCTGAGTTAGATTTTGGGCAGTCATCATCTCATGGGGCTATGTTCATTATATAACTAAAGTTATTTTTTTTATATTTCAGTTATTTATTTGATATTTCACTGCAAAGAATAAATGCACATGCTAGTTTTATCAGATTTTTTTCCCTTCACCATCCAGTGAAGAGTTAAGAATGCAGGAAGGAAGGCAGAGGGATAATGCTCTGGCACTTTTTAAGCAGAGAGAAGAGAGCTATACACATTTCATGCAGGCAATGGATGGTTGCAATAGGAGAATAGGTGGTGACATTAAAAAGACAAGAATTCTTGAATACCAACACAAATTATCATCAAAGTACCACTCTCTAAACCTTCAAATGGACAAATGAAGGGAATTTTGAATGCTAGGCAACATTTTGTTGTTCCCTATACAATCACAGCCAAAATGTGCAGACATATTTGTCTAGGTCAGGACCTTACTAGTCTCCAGTGAATTTACTCTCTATCATTGCCACCATGGTGCATGATTGTGTCATAGTTTTTTACATTTTTTTGACTTTCAGACTGTTTAAAGCCAGTGCTTCTAATTTAATGTTTTGTGTCACTTCTAGATGCTTCTGGATACTTGGTTTTATAAGCTTTTTCTTAGCTAATGAAAACCTCTTTCAGAGGTCACTCTGGTTTCCCCTCCACCCCTATGTTGGAGAGGTTTTCAGCTACTGCTGCCACCAGGTGATAATGTTTCTTTCTTCAGCTGCTTCATTTTGCATCCATCCCCAATTGATCCTAAAGAAAAAATAAGTAACTAACATGCAAAACCTAATTGTGATGTAGGAATACTGCATATGTCTTGATACATGTACAAACAAAGGATTTAAAGGGTTTTTTTGTTTTTGTTTTTAATTTAAAGCCTTCGGTAGTAACATAGTTGCCCAAAGGTACATGATTTACCTCTACCAAATCTCATTGCTTTTAGCTAGGTCTGTGCAGAAACTCTTTCATCAAACAATCTTCTCCCAGAACAGCCACTACTCACCAAATATCCCTGGTTACTAGAGTTAGAGAGAAGGAGAGCTGTAGTATGTAAAAATGGCTAATATTCATTTAAAATAACTTCTGAACTCACTGTTGTGGTTTTAGGAGCCCCCACAATTCTGTCATAATAGCAAGTGTATCAGTATGGCTTGTCCTAGTGGGAGCTAGCTATAGTTGGAGTCCTGGGTCCTGAATGACAAAATTTTGTGCCATGATAAAATGTTGCTTTAATGTGTGTGGTACTTGTTAAATTGCTTTTAACAACATTAACAGCCTTTTAACAACTGTAGAAGGTCCTACCTAAGGATTTCTACTGAGTTTTTGAGGCTTACACGGTGAATTCTTGATTTCAGAAGTTTGGTCTGGTTTGTGTATGTAAAAAGGAAATTACTACTATATATAATAAGTAGATACCAATACATGGGCACCATTGTTTACAGAAGAAAACATAACAGCTGTAATCTGGGATAAGGCACTTTAGGGGTGGAATTATGGCTGGCATACATGGCCCTTGGCATATAGCATAGGTACCATGGTGAGATAGCTGTAGGTTAAACAGAGGTTTTATTAATTACTTGCCTTTATAGGCTGATATAGAAAAAAAATACTGTATAACAGCATGCACTAATCTATTTATAGGGGAACCACCACTAAGCAAAGTAAGCAATGATAAACCCTTGACATCTATGAGGGGGCATGTGATATTTTGTCAAAATTTTTCCAAGGGTCAGTGTCACAGAGTGAAAATTAACTGAAAACTTTCCTTATGGCATTTCTGTGGGATCACATTTGTGTCTCCACTTGGACAAATATAAAGGATAGCGATCATATATCAAGTTGGGCAATACTGATGTAAGTAAAATTTGCTAATGAAGTATTAGAGGTGGGACTTTCAGAATGAGATGACTGTTCTGAGGCAGTAATGTTCTGCCATTAATACATGTTCTTTTTGGCTCTTCTGCATTGCTGGAGGCAGTTTCTATAATGTAAGTCTAAGAGGTGGCAGGTTTCACTTTAGATTCTCACAGGGGACTTCTGCCCATATTGCAAATCCACTAGCTTGTTAATTTATGGTTTTCTAAATTCAGATTTGTCCTCTTTAGCTTGACACTATTATGGGGAGTATCAAAATATGGACACATGACTGAT